TGCATAAGCGGGTGCAACATTACAGAATGAAGGAATGAAATAACATAGAAACTACTATGTTCTTGTTGGGTTATGAAGCAACTACATTATTAGGGTTCCGTAAGCCGTAACCCCGAAACCCTGCACCACCCCCACTCCCTACTGAGAGCTAGCAAGTTGCGGGTCTACGCAGGGGCTACTCTTCTGGATCCTACGTAATTCCTTCTCAGTTAGGGTTTAGGGTTCCGTATCTACAGGCCGCGTACAGCTCCCAAGAGCACTATACTATAGTCTTCATTGGGGCTATAAGATGAAAAGCCGCAAAGCAAGAACACGTGCAATCCGTTTAGGGTCTTGGGTCCCAAGGACATTCCTGAACCTTGTAACCCAAAATCGTGACACCGATCAAGGAGCAAACCTCTGGACCCTATACTGCCCAAGCAAGAAACCCCCACACCACTATGCCAAAGTCTCCTCCGAAACCTACAACCAAGCGCTAGCCACATAAACTTCGAGAACAAAACTCACGCCGAACACTCTGAGACCCCTGCAAACCTAAAACTACGACCCAAAAACCTCCAAAACCTTTTGCCAGGGCACAGTCGAAGTAAGGCGGTCCATGTCCTTGCCTTCAAGGTAATGACCTGGCAGTCAGATAGTGTGGCTTCTGGGGAACCTGCAGGGACTACCAGGAGTATGACTTGCGCTTGAGGTTGAGGTTTAAGGAAAAGTTCACAAGGTGCGGTCTAGTCAGGGCTTCGGGTCCGAAATTGACGGGTAAGGTGGGACGTAAGGGGTGTAGGGTGAAGAGAATGCAGCGATTTGTTCGGAACCTCTGCCCCTGCAGGTAGGGAATCTCGGTCGAGCCTGCTAGGAAAAACGCGCACCACTTCTTGGGCTAGGGAAGCTTGCCAGACACCAACTGAAAACCTCCATAAGCAGATGATGGCTGAAAACCCTAAGCCCTAAACCACATGAAAGGAAGATATCCGTCTCAAAACTGCTCAAAGGTCAGAAGTTGACAAAGACAAACCACCCGGCTATGTTCAGGATTGTGGCAGCTTGGAATGCTTGCGAGAATGTAGGATGAAAGGTGCGTGACACTTCAGATTTGGAAGCATGAAAGCCTGCTAAAGGTAGGACCCTGCTCAGAAGAGGAGCTATGATCTTGGCAACTACTGCACGCAAAAATCAGAACGCTGTATATGAATCCACTGAGCCCCGTAATCATAACAGTGAAAAGGTCTACAAGATCCGGTCTTATTGGCCCTTCCCTTTACTTACTGGAGTTTAGTAGGGAACAAAGGCATCTTTTGTCTAGGGGTTCTGTAGGGATTGTACTCCCTTAACGCCTACCAAGCACCCATGAAGTCTAGGGGTGTTTTGCACATGGCTCTTTCAAAATCAGTTCATCCCTCAGCCCGAAAAGCCCCAACACGCAAAGCCCTGAACCTACCGACACCTCCTGGGCGCAGGGTATTGCAGTCCACCGCTGCGGTCGCCTGCAGCATCATAGGCAGTTGCTTAGTACTCTACAGGTCTCAAAATAGCCCAAGAGCCTTTCATAGTAAGGTCCTTGGGCCCAAAGCCTCAAAAGATGAGTCCTTAGGGCCTTAAGGGGTAGAATTTGGATAGAATTTGGCAAGTGATCCAAAGACTTCCTGCGCCAACACCCCAGCAAGATATCAATATCAATGGCATTCACTGCGGTGGGAATCACTGCGACCCAGCGTAGGGCCTGAACATTTCAAAAATTGTGTCAGTGGTCACTGTTTGGACAATTTTTCAAGAGAGCATTCTGCCGGTCTCCGGATCTTGGTATTTGTCCAGATGTGCGCACTGACAGTGCCTCATTGAACACAAGTACACATGGTAGTTTCCCTCAATGGTGGGGACCCCAATATAAACCCTGAAATATGATAACCCTGATTATAGACACCCCAAAAATATTCCTAACTTCTGGGGAAAAAGCCATCTACACATGCATATTTGAACTGACAGCCCATGATCATTAAATCCTAAACCCTGAACCGGCTGCAGGACGGTAGGCGGTCCGATTGGATGCGCAGAGTTCCGTGCTACCACCCCGTGAGCTCTGAAGAGATCAGGATAGCTAGCGCAACGTCTGATCTTGTTTTCGGCTTAAGGTTTTCTGTTTAGGGTGCAGGGGAAAACTTAATCCCCAGCAACAAGCTCCAAACAGGGGAGCCCCAACGAAGGGAGGAATGCTCATCTGAAAGCTCGATTTCTTACTGCTTTCCTTGGGCCCAGAAAGTAATTATGGTTCTGGGCTAAATTGAGGGATGCTCGCTGTGCGTTTTTGAAGGGCTATAATCCTCATTCAGTTCAGTAAACACGGAATACTGTTCAAGATATAAGACTTTTTGCAAACGTGTCTTGGGGTTCTTGCATCCAAGATTTCATGCACTGAAGAAGTCATAACCAAGAGCCCCATAGTTTCGAAAATTGCCCATGGGGATATAGTTGGGGATCCTACAGGGTTTTCCACACTATGCCTAAGTCCCTATACGCCAAGTCTTTCTGGGTGGCTAGCTTTATGTCTAGTAGGCTCTGAATACAAAACCGTTAACCCCAAGCCTGAAACCGTAAACCTCTCAAAAGGGGTAGGGTATAGGGCTGTATGTATAAGGGTCTAGCTAAAGTACCCTCAAGTTCCATTTTACCCTAAACCCTGAACCC